TTCTCGGTTTTTCGGTTTTTTTGAACACCCCTAATTGTATGTAAACCACGAAGTTTATATTGGGATTGGAGGGCAACTATGACATGCTGTTACCACCATTGAATTTTCTTCTTTGATGCTTGTTATGAACTATGAGGGCAAATAAGTTATTTTTGTATAATTGTATAGGTTGATGCCACAAAGCGTGGTGGGATTGCAAGATTCATAAACCATTCTTGCGAGGTAGGTACATAAATTATTTTGCAGATGATTTCATTTACTAAAATTGTTGTTATTTATCGATTCTTATGATATGACTTGACCATCATATGTAGCCCAACTGCTACACCAAGGTTATAAGCGTTGAAAGTCAGAAAAAAATTTTCATCTATGCAAAACGCCATATAGCTGCTGGTGAAGAAATTACTTACAATTACAAATTTCCTCTGGAGGATAAAAAGATACCTTGCAACTGTGGTTCTAGGAAGTAAGATGCGACTATAACTTTGTTATCTTGTTTGTGTGTTCTTCAAGTTTGATCTTGCATTTAATTCAACATCTTTTTTGTTCAGGTGCCGGGGATCATTGAATTAGGAATTATCCTGTGATGCCAATTATTGTAAGCGCGGTTTTCATTATTGTTTGTTATGAGACAGAATTTTGTTCATTGCCTTGTGATGTCATATGATCTATGTAATATTTTGTAGGCTGTATTTTAGAGTTTTGTCTCACTTTGCATGGTTGACAGAATCAGTATATAGGTATGTTATCTTATTGATTTATCTTCAATGCATGTGTATAGTTTACTCAATTAAATTTGTTCAGTTTAGCTGCTGCATCTTTTTCCTCTTTCACCTCCTGCATCTGATTAAGATCTACTGTAGGATATAGCTGATGTGGCTATTATTATTATTATTATATTTTTTTTGTAATCCACATGACAGATAATTGCCCCATGGATGATCAGATGGTGTAAAATAAAAAATAGGACATAAAAGCAAATTTTATATTATTTGAAACGTAGGGGACAAATAATGGATTTGCAGTAATTTAAAACTGGAATGATTACTTAGTTTATGATTTTTTTTGCCCTTCAACTGGAATGAGGAAATTTTATTTAGCTATTTCATTTCATGTTTTAGCAACTGAGAATTTAGCAATTCAGTTTTTTCTTGTAGTTTGATGCTTTTGGAACAGCTGGGATTGTTTTCTTGAGATTTGAAACCCTTCACAAACTGTTGCTTGAAAGATTTATTTGGTGTTCTGATGAGATGAATGGGGGTGCAGACTAGCAGCAGAGAACATTAGCATGGTTTATCTTCCATTGTATGTTTCTAATTGCTGATCACTTCGTATATGAGTAATTTTATAGTACTCCTATAATTGACCACTTTACAATTTTTTCTTGGCTTCCTTTTCTGGTTAATGAACTAATTTTGAGATCAATAATAACTTGGAATGTTACATGTGATACCTGCAGTTTGTCTTGTGTGAGTTTAGCTTATAGATGTGAGGTTGATAAGTGAAAATTCATGAAGGAAATGTGAAAACAAGAAAATGTGTTGGCATTAAGGCACGATGGCATGTCCCCTGCTTCCAAAGCGCTATTTGAGGATGAAGTCTGGACTTTAGGACAAGCAAGGACTTTAGGACAAGCAACTGGATGTATGTGTACATTTCCCGATGGCTAAAGGAAAAAATAAAATGGTACCAAGGCATCTTGAGTTCAGTCGCTTTTATATCGTCAATTGACAACAAGAATTGGTTAATTTTGCCTCTTGGTTTATCTATTGAGAGGATGATGCTTTTTGTGCATTTCAATCATTGATTGAATTATTGTGTTGTTTCAGGCTGTGAATCGTCGGTATTGCTAAAAGCTGGATGGTGTGATTGTGGAGATCTTTCTATGTTGAATTCCCCCCCTACTAGTCGAAGATGAATGAGTGACCTGTGCGTTCTTGTAGATCTCTCTGCTGCAGATGAGTTTCTCCTCTTAGAAACACCAAATCAATAAATTGTTTCCGTACTTTACATTTCTGGAGTATCAATTTGTTGTACAGACATGCATTATTTTTTTTTTATTATTTCAATACAAGTGAAAATATAATATAGATGATGAATCTTGTGAATAAATTTAATTTTTTCTTCTATTGGTAACCTTAGTAGGTGATGACTGCTTCAACATGTTTTTTTTTTGCAAAATTAAATTAGAGAAACAGAAGAGTTTTTGGAGCTTGTGGTGCTTACGCCCATTGAACCAAATATTTGACTACAGGAGGGACCTGGTCATCAGTGGACTAGCTGTCAGTTGGTAAAAAAAATTTCAAGGGCATGGTTCTCAGCTTTGTTTCTGTCATTTCAATACTCATGAGCAGCCATTTTGAGGGCTGACATGAATCCTGCTGCATGATGGAACCAATTTTAAGTTTCTTTTTGCCATTTACTGAATCCTATCAGTCTTTGTGCCTTGACTAGCGAAGTTGTGAGATAAAAACTGACGCCACCCTAGCAGTCTAGCTTTTAGATTATAATTTCTAAATATTTCAAGTCACCGCCTTGATGAGAGTTCAATAATTTTACCAGGTAAACGGAACATCTAGGGTTGAAAGACGCTGAAACAAAGGGAACAATTGTTCAGGATTTATTGGTCACAATTTGAAGATGTGGTTAAAAGTGGCGATGCACCATAAAGAGATAAAATGGGAATGTCGATGACCAATGTCCCACGATAATTTGGTTGTTTAATATTGTAATTTGAGCCCTTGGTACTGGTACATGATAGTTTCATGCAACAGCTTTTCTTTGGTGTTGTGTGAGTGTTTGATCGTTCATCTTTTTCCTTGCATTTCTTTTTGGCTGCAGGAGTGCATCTGTTAGAGATTCACTGTAGCTGCTGGGGTGGGGCGGAGGTTTCCTTGTGCCCCCTGGTATGTGTCTGCTTCTCCTCTCCTATGTATAAAAGCTAACGCCAGTGGCCACCATGTTGGTTTGTGCAGTTATGGAAGTTACCAACCAATGGCAATTGCTAATTTGAAAAAAATTTATAAGATCATGGTCAAACTTCATGCATGTACATACATCTCTTATAATTAATAAGTGCAAGTGGCGAGAGCCGGGGTTCTTTAATTAAATTTTAGCCTAATTTAACTCAATCAAATCTCAAATCCAAACTAGGTTAGGCTTGACTAAAAGTTGTTTTTTTACTCATTTAATTTATTTATCATTTTCTAGCGGATAGCCAGACATTAGTTGATGGTTTTTTTTTTTAATTTTTTTGACACTTTGTAACCAAATCATTCGAGGAATTCACTTGATAACCATTACGATAAAATACTAAACCATGGAATTTAATTTAATTATATTTTTTGTGATACATTTTGAAATGAATTAAATTTGTAATCTTCATCATTTTTCCTTTAATTCAGAAATAGATCTTTTTGTCATTTTTTTTACAAGCACCTTATATTTTATATTAAAATATAGATATTTTAAAGAAGATATAAATGGATCTATTTCATATGATTTTTTTATTATATATATATATATATTTGATTAAAAAAATTCAATCAAATTAATCTTTTCATTGGAATGTTGAGAAAAAAAATTCTGGAAATATTTCAAAAAAAGTTTAAATAGATGAACATCAAATCACATTACTAAATAAAGAAGTTAATGATGAACATGATTTAATGTTAATAATTTATAAAGAACCATAATTTTTAGTTATAATAATTCAATGGATAAATAAGTTTTGACAATTGTATAAATAAGTTTGTGAAAATCATATAAATGTTAGTTTTAATGTTCATGCTTAACTTTAACTCCATAAAATACTATCAACACGTCTTTTTTACTAACTTTTCAATGAAAAATATTCCAATAAAATCAGAATGATCTATAAGCCACACAACCGCATCTTTATTGAACACTCTCCTGTATGTTTCTTTATTGCACATTTATGTTACCTTCTAAAAATAACGGATGCACCAGTGAATTTGGTTTGCTCTGTGGAGGTATTTTAGGAATTTTCTTGGTATTATTAACAATATGATCTCTTGCTCAGTTTTTTAGAATCCTAGTCACTCAGTAAACATAAAGAGATGATGGGTTTAGAACTTGGAAGAAGAGAAGGAAAGAGATAGTCGGGGGTTTTGAAAAGAAAAAAAATTGGTTTGTGTTGTTTAGGGTTTTTTTTTTAATATTGTTTTTATTTGTCAATTCCAAAGAGAAATAATGTGGCAAACCCGCTTATTTGCTTTTACGTGTTTTTTTTTAAATTGAATTCTATTTGGAATTCAAATCCATACCCAAAAACAAAAATTCAAAATACAAAAATTGATTTAACCCTTGAATTCAATCCCGGTTCACAATTAATAATTAGGTGATCTACAATTAATAATTAGGTGATCTAGTAGTTAGCGGAACAGGAGAATTGTATCACCACGACAGATGAAATTGGCCACTATTGTGACCAAGTTGAGGGGCTAATGTGGCTTCTTTTATTAGGAGACATTTTTTAAAGCTCAGAACATGTGACTTTCTTGCAGCACAAAATAAGTGGTTCAAACACATTTGGAAAGCCCAATATGCATGGTTTTTGATTTTCGTGTTGTATTGGTGTCATGTTAATAATGAATGCTAACAGTTATTGGCAACCAGGACACTCTTGTTCCAGGTCGCCACAGTCCATTGCTAGGATTAGTTCCAATGCGAGATCGAAAGGGTTGCATCAATACCATGGTTCGTTAGTGGATAGTCGTTTCCCTGAAAGCCTGAAAGGAGTACATGCGTTCGAACCTCCAGGGCAATGCTCTGGATTTGAGAAAAGGAGAGGTTGTAAAATACGTTAATCTGTTCCGTCATCTAGAGTACGGTTTTCCTCGCACATCGTTTGCTGCCCATTTTAATAGCACAAGAGTAACTCCGCCTGTGTTGTTTCATAGTATGTCATTGCACATCACAGCCGGTCCCAAGCCCGGACAAAGGAGGAGGGTGTGGTTAATAGATTATGAACCTGGCAACAAAAACATATGCATGCTTCTCACTAGCCTTAAAACTTGAATCATGGTTCAATTGGACTTTAAAAGATGTGTTAAAACATAAAATGACTTGGCAAATGAACAAATCTGTTAGGAACAATGTCGGCAAAGCTAACAATTTTAATAAATCATCGTAAGTTAGTGTTTCTAGGCTTTATTCATATATGAATTAAGATAACATTTGGTTATTATTTTTGGTTAAAGAGACAGGGAAACATAAAATAACTTTGTTTTGACGATTTTGAGGGAGTTAAAAAGTACTGGAGGCATGTATGATTTTGTTTTTTGTTATTTTAAAGTAACTAAAGTTTATTTTGAGATTCCATCAAGTGTGTTTTGGTAGTTTCTAAACTACCCAAAAAACATGGTATTGATTTCACAAGTTGGATCAAAACGCCTAAAAATGCTTTATGGGTTTGTTTCTTTAACTCTTCTTCCGGTGGCTTGAGATAGAGAATTGGAGGGGTTGAATTAATTTCCCTTTATTGGAGTTGGGGACTTGAGAAAACTGGAAGTCTGGAAGGGTTCAACTTTTGTGTGATTAGGGGTTTGTTTCGTAGTCTTGGAAGATCGTAGCGTTTTGCAAGTGATTGCCACGGTGATGATAGTTGTGCAAATCTGGTCTTTTAACTATTTTTATTGTTTTAAGCAATTATGGTTTTTAAGTTGAGATGTCCTACCCTTTCTTGTAATTCATCGTTGTAGTGGGAATTTCGAGAAGCTTGTGCTATTGCTGAGGCCACAATCCACAATATAAGAGAAGGAATAACTATAGAACAAGCCAACGATTGTTAAAGCAGAAACCTTTTTGTGGCCCACAGATCTACTGGTAATAAAGGAATGTTGTGAGTTGAGAGAGAAGAAACAATTGGGGTGATATATAATCTGCATGTTTCTGTGTTTTTAGACCCATACTATGCAAGTTTTTGACACAGGTAAGTAGTGCTCATTGATTTTGTTTTGTTTTTGAAGGAATGCATGAGTGAGTGGTTAAAAAAGGATTAGTAGATATGTCTGTTGGCTTGTAAAAAGCTAAGCTTAATTCAAACTGAAGATGGTGTTCGGTTTTGGTTTCAGATGAGAATCGTAAGCAAATGCAATGCCAAGGGAGAGACCCAACACCCAAGTCTGGGCCAAATGGAAAAGAGAGTGGGGCTGGGCCTGGGGGAGGTAAAAAGCAAAACATGCAAGCACGGGATATTGGTCCCATGCGAGGTGTGCCCATATCCATGAACCCCACATCCATAAGCATTACCATACCACCTCTTTTTACGCTCATTATTTTATTTTACCTGCATTTAACTCTTACTCCCCTTAGGCCTTAGCTCTTTCTTTATTATCTTTTTTTTTTTTTTTTATATATATTTCCTGGTTTCTTTTCTTTTAAACCTCTATTCCCTCAAATAAGAGGTAAAAAATGCCGATCGTCTCTTTTTAAGGATAGCGCTGAGGCGCCTCCACTGGGACGGCGTTCTTTTCATTTATTTTGTGTAAAAAAAGAGAGAGTAAAAATAGTTCTTGTGTCGTAAAAAATAACAATGATAGTGATACTCACGTCTATTTTTTTTTCTTTTATTATTGTTGTTATAAAAAATAGAGGAAGAGCAAAGACGAAAAGCATATTACAACTTACAAGCATTCATCAACAAAAGAAAAGCATGCTACAAGTCTATGGTGAGGGGTGAGGGAAAAGTGAGTTTGGTGTTCCTCCCTTGTTAAAATCAGCAGAACAGCATCTCTCCTCAATCACTTCAATCCTTTTCGCTTTCTTTTCTTTTGTCTTGCCTTGTCTTTCCCTTTATTATTTTTATCTTACTAAAGAGCAAAACAAAAAGAAAAAGAAAAAGAAAAAACAAAATCTTTTTGATAATTAAATAAAGGAATGCTAGATTATTAGTAATTTTGTAGTACTTTCATTTTATTTTTTTCAGTTCTCTCTCTCTCTTCTTTCCTTCCTTATCTCTTTGGTCCTCCTTCTTTACACGTTTTTTTTTTTTCGAGTGTGAGTACTATAGATAGAAATCTCTGGGTTGAGGGTAAAATCTAGAGGGTGTCAGCATCTAGGTTTTGGCGGCGGCGGCTGTTGGTGGCAGTAGTAATGGTATTGATGGTAATAGTGTGTTGAAGGTAGGAAAGAAAGGAGAAAGAAATGTTGTTTAATAGTAGTATTTGATTGAAAATTGATCAAAATCTAATACATATAAACTACGTAGTATATAATATAGTATGGTACAGTAGAGTACAGAGAGGAAATATGAAATGTGTGCGAGAGAGAGAGAGAGAAAGAGACAGAGAAAGTGATATTTATTTGATAGGGTGAAGTGAAGTCAGCTATCTTTCTTTTTTCTAAATCCACGGCCAATATTAGTAATAGTAACTTGAAGAAGAAGAAGAAGAAGAAGAAGAAGAAGAAAGAGTGTGTGTAGTGTGTAGAGTTGAGAGTTGAAGTCAAAGGTGCAACTAGTAGTGGTGGTGGGTGGGTGGGTAATCTATCAGACTCGGTTATGGGGTCGGAGCAGAATAGATTCCCTCAGCAGCAACAGCAGCAGGAACAACAGGTACGTCTTTCTTTTTCTTTCTTTCAATTTCCAGTAGATCTGGATCTGATGCCTCTATACCATCTTTCTCATAAATGCCCTTTGCCTTTCTTTTTGTTTCAATCTTCTTTTTCCTTCATTCCTTCCCTCAGATGAATAGATAGATCTGTAATCTTATTTTATTTGTTACTCAATGCTTATCGTCTTCTTAATCATCGAGCAAATGAAATTTTGCAAATCATGTGTATCGAATGAAAAAAAGAGCACAGATCTGATTATAAGGACCATCTTTATCTACTAATTGTTTTCATTATTGTATTTCCAGATCAAACAAAACAACACATGCTATCACTATATCACTAACGCATCGGATAGCCTTCCTTTCTCTCGGATTATTTCGTGTAATTACCCTCAGAAACCATGCATGATTAATTTATTATGTTCTATATATACACACACCAAGTTTCTCCATTTGACATTGTGGTGCGTGCGGTTGGAGATGCTACTCCACTTCAATTTTTTTTTTTTTTTGGTTTTCATTGCTTGAACATGCGTTTCATCTCAAATTATGGAATAAACTTGTATTTGAAAAAGGCTACAATTTGTAACTTTTCTTAAACCCACCTTTTTTTCTCTTCAAATTACAACCGCAAAAGCTATCACATTGCCAAACACAAATTGCTGGTCACTTTGATGAAACTGTAGTACCAAGTTGTGATGAAGCTCTTTTTTCCGCATCTTTTAATTTTCTGGGTAATAATGTATAATAGAATTGGATCAATTAGAAAAATATATCTTTTGATTTTTTATTTTATTTTTCATTTAGTGATGTGATAAATACTATTCATGTATGTATGTGTGTGTATAAGGTGATTCTATATCTATTTCATTTGAATGTTCGTTTTTAAATTACTCGCTAAACAAGCTCTTGATTTCTAGCATTTGGATTTGATTTTCATTTTTCACATTTGCAATTTGCCATCTAGTTATAATTTGTCTTGACTATATATTTAGCAGAGCAAGAGATGGGGAAAATGCTGGGGGGCATTGTCTTGTTTCAGTGTGCAGAAAGGTGGAAAGCGCATTATGCCTGCATCTCGTATTCCTGAGGGCAATGCATCAGCAACCCAGCCAAATGGACCTCAACCTGTTGGCCTAACCAATCAAGCTACAGCGCTAGCTCCGTCACTTCTAGCTCCCCCATCTTCACCAGCCTCATTTACAAATTCTGCTCTCCCATCAACTGCTCAGTCTCCTAGCTGCTTCCTTTCTGCTAATTCACCTGGGGGTCCTTCATCCACAATGTTTGCCACTGGCCCTTATGCTCATGAAACCCAACTGGTTTCTCCTCCTGTCTTCTCAACCTTCACAACAGAGCCATCTTCTGCTCCTCTTACACCCCCACCAGAGCTGGCTCACTTAACTACACCCTCTTCCCCAGATGTTCCTTTTGCTCAATTCCTTACATCATCTAGGGATCTCAAAAGTGCTGAAAAGAACAATTACATTGTTGCATCTGATCTTCAAGCAACATATTCACTCTATCCTGGAAGTCCTGCAAGCAGTCTCAGATCACCAGTTTCTAGGACTTCAGGTGACTGTTTGTCAGCATCTTTTCCCGAACGAGATTTCCCCACTCACTGGGATCCGTCAGTTTCTCCCCAAAATGGAAAATATTCAAGGAATGGATCTGGCAGGCATTTTGGGCCCGAGACTGCCGGTGCCTCCATGGTGTCGCAAGATTCAAATTTCTTCTGTCCTGCTACATTTGCACAATTCTACCTGGACCATAACCCCCCATTTCCTAATACTGGTGGGAGATTAAGTGTTTCCAAGGATTCGGACGCTTATCCTGCTAGTGGAAATGGACACCAGAACAGGCATAATAAAAGTACCAAGCAAGATGCTGAAGAATTAGAAGCTTACAGAGCATCCTTTGGGTTCAGTGCTGATGAGATTATCACTACTCCTCAATATGTAGAGATTTCTGATGTAACGGAGGACTCATTTAGCATGACTCCTTTTACTTCAACCAAACCTACAATGGAAGAAAGTGTGGAAGCCTCGTCTCCAGATGAGGGCCAAAAAGCACATGCAAACTATGAAGGTGAATTCTCTAACTTTGTTTCTTGTTCTGAAAATCATGAAAAGAGAGAAAAAATTGAAATCTCAGAACAGTGGCATTGAAATGTAACTCGACCTAAGTTCCCAAGTATCTTTTTATCTATGTTTTCTCAACAATCAACTATTTGATTATGCTTTTCCGATTTGCTGTTCGATGTTCTAAACTTTAAAATGTAGTGGGGAAAGCTCCTGTTAGAAAGATCTGTCTTTTCGGGTGGATAAGAAAGGGAGCATGGCAAGGGATATTCTCGATGATATTGGAATGTTAACGCCAAGGCTTTTGTTCCCTCATGTCTGTGAATAGAGCACCTTCCATCTCCTCACATGTCTCTGTGCTTTTGTTTGCAACTATAATGCTGTGACCATGTACAAAACATCCATTTTTTTAAGATGTACTCTCATAGTCATCCTTTGTTGTATTTAACTCAGATCCTAAATCAAGACGGCAACCTGGGAACATATCTGGATCAAGAACACCCGGCAACCATGTTGTGACTGATGATGACATATTCTCAAAGATGGCATCATCGAAAATTAGCAGGAAATATCATTTGGGATTATCGACCTCTGATGCAGAAATTGACTACAGAAGGGGAAGAAGCTTAAGAGAAGGCAAGGGAGATTTTGCATGGCATGATTAGAGTAGAAAAAAGCAAGCTGCCATTTGTTTTCCATGTGTATTAAATTGAAGGTTTCTTTGTCATACTCCTCTGTTTGCGTTCCTGTGACAGGTGGCATGATCTAACCTGTGATCTAACCTGTTCTGTCTTTCCTGCTGCTCTTTCAGGTGTGTGGCCTGGTATCTCTGATTGATGAGTGTATTGCTTTTGTTCCTAAAATTCCACTTCTCTATAAGTTAGTTATATTTATGTATATATTTATATATATATATATGCCTGATTATGTACACTTAAGTGGTGAAAATGCAAATTTTCATCTCGAGTGAGCTTCGATATCACGTCTTCTGGAAAATCAGTTGAGCAATAGCAACCTTCTTGTGGATATCTTCACATATCATGTGTAGAAGAGATCTGTGCGTATCGCATGATTAGCTTTTTAGTCGATTATATGGAAAACGACGTATCAATCAGCGATACCTGATTATACACGAGGGTGGTGGCAGTGGGTTTCCGGCGGCACAATCTTGGTATCTTTTTTTTTTTCTTTTTGAATTTTTAATAAAAACAAGGGCCTAGGTAAGTGAATTATATTTTTTTAATCCAAAAACTTTGCCTTTACTTGGCAAAGAAAGGAAAAGGCTTGAGTCCTTCCATCTCCTTTCTCTGTGCTAATAATGTTAACAAACAAGCCGCGCATATCAGCCCCAAGCACCAGAAACCCAGCCCCTGCTTATCAATGTTCGAGCACCGCGCGTGCTAATTGTTATCATGGAAAAGAGCCATCAACATGACAGGAGGAAGAAGAGGATTTGTTGGGGATTTATTTTTTATATGGATTTTGTTTCGAATATTGCAGCAATGAATTGAATTGCGGACCCTAAACCCCAGATTGTAGCAATCTATTAACCAACTAATTTTATGAAAGAAAAAAAAAAGAAAAAGAAAAAAGAACATGAACTTATAATTTCACCCATAACTACCAGAGATCTGTTGAGGAAATTAGGAGTGACGAGCGAGGAGTTTTGCAAAGGCAATGCGTGACGAAATGAAGACCCCCCCAACTTTGACCATGACTACACACCTGACGGTGACCGACAGCATACTATTGGCCATTACTACCACTGGATTTGTTCCATATTTTTTTTTTTAGATTAACGTGGGTGTCCGGGCCAGCTTGCGTGCACCACGACTAATCCCACGGGCCCTGAAGTTAACGACCATGTAAGCCTCCAGTGGCCATCATATGAGCAACCAAGGACTCGAACCTGAGACCAGAGAGGGAACAAACCCCTTAATCCCAAGTCCTTACCACTTGGCCACATGGTTATTCCATATTTTCCTTGCTTGCTAATGGCCATCATGCTCCACAAGCTTATTAAATAAAAGTAAAAAGCAACACGTGTCAAATAACCTTGCTTGCTAAAAGTAAAAAGCAACACGTGTCAAATAATCAGGATCCAAGCCCGTCCAGTCCTATTAGATATTTTTCCTAATAGAAAATTCCAGAAATTCCCAGAACTTGGAAAATGGAGGAAATAGAAGTCAAGAAGAAGGAAGGTTCCGCCACGCGCTGCGTTGCCGCCCCTGGAACTTCACCTATTTAAGAGCCAGCCATATTTTATTGCCCAACAAAAACCGTGTGCTCTCTCTCTCTCTCTCTAATCCATTCCAGTCTTTCCGCCACGTCTGACACCCGATTGCCGACCAGATCAGGCCATGACTATCCTCAAGAAACCAAACTGATATATAGCCATCACCGCTTTCTTTCAGAAAACCCAATACAAACAACAATTTCTCTCTTTTCTAGCTATCTAATTCCATCTCCTTTTTCTTCCTCTACAACTTATACTCGAGTACGCACTCACGTGCTAGTAGTTAATTAGTTGAAACCTCAAACTACCTTTCTGAATATCTCTATATATTTACCTGTCTGTTATCATGAAGTCACATTCAGTTTCATCTTCACCTTCACCTTCCGGCAATTCATCTCCTCTTGCAAGATTACGGCGTAAACTATCTCCACGGAAACCCGACAATAACCACCCTGTTTCTCTTCCAGCTCCCAAAAACGTTAATAACTCGACTAGTGCTATTAATGTAATTGGAAACAACCAGCTCCAAAGGGTCTTCAATTACTTTGACGAAGATGGAGATGGAAAGATATCTCCTGCTGAGTTGCGGAGCTGTATTACTACTGTTGGAGGTCAGCTTTCCATCGAGGAAGCTGAGGCCGCCGTCAGCTTCTCTGATATGGATGGAGATGGGTTGTTGGGATTCCAGGATTTCCAATGCTTGATGGCAGGGAGTGCTTCAAAGGAGGAGGAGACAGAAGCGCTTAGACAGGCTTTTGAAAAGTACGAAACTGAGCCTGGCTCAGGCTGCATCACTCCTACCAGCCTGAAGAGGATGTTGAGTCGACTGGGGGAGTCTAGGTCCATCAACGACTGCAAGGCTATGATTCGTACCTTTGACCTTAATGGAGACGGTGTCCTTAGCTTCCACGAGTTTTCTGTCATGATGCGCTAGCCCAATATTCTCATCCATGCCCTGCCCTTATATACACATTCAATTCGTTTGTTCTCGTTGAAGTGCTTAATTGTTCATTCTTTTTGTGTACACACATATTTGAATTTTATGAACTTTAAGTTCGTTTGGGAGATCAATATCTGCATTTATTCCTCGCAATCTTATTGCCTGCTAAACTTAGAAATCATTTGCCACCCAATATCACCTGAAAATGATGAAGTACTAGCTTAACAGAGAACGAAAATTTCAGCTGCTCACTTATTTTCCACCCACTTTTCACTTGGCCCCGCTGTGAAGGGCTCATCTCATAAAGCATTGCCATCGTAATAGAAAGCAAACCACAAGAATAGAAACATGGTAAATAGAAATGAAATTAGAATAAAAATAGCACTACTTTTTGCAATCCCTCGAGTGGGAGGAAAGAAACCAAAATGAGAAGATGATTCATTGCGTTTAAAATTAAGAGTGAAACAGAGGACAACTGACCTTCGATGGTCTGCTTCCAAGGGCAGATCTTCCCTGAAAACATAAACACGTGTATGATATTATGAAATATACTAAAAGAGTGACGTGTTATTATTTTTTACATAGATACAAAGTACTATAAATTAAAATAATATAATAATAATTTTATTTTTAATACAAAATATTATAAAAACAGAAAAAGAAGGATATAATTGTCTTTTTATTAAAATATATTTGACATTGAACAAATAATTAAAAAGAAAATAATCAACACAAGTTTTGTGAGGCTAAAAAACATGAGGAGTAGGCACCTGATAAGAGCATTTCCCATACAAGGGCACTCGATGCTTGAATATTGGTAAAAAACCCGACTAGCTATGGCAACTCTAAAACCACGTGGCGTTGGAGAAAGTCCGAGCGCCACCTGGTGCTAAAGCAATCTAATATTCTGGGTAAACCCTAGCGCTTGATTGGCTATAACAACTCCATTGTTATATGATACTCAGGTCCAGACTCGTTTGCGCATGACCACATATATGTTTATATAACAATGTGTTATAAATATTTTTTTTTATAATTTAAAGTGTTTATATAAAAAATAATATTATTTTTACTATAAATATTATTATTTTTATTATAACTCGAAGTATTAATATAAAAAATATTATTATTTGTGTTGTAATCATCCTTGAAATTCTTCATTTAATTATTTATGTTATAAATATAATTATTTTTACTATAATTAATTAATAGTATGAATATTCAAAATATGTTATAAATATTATTTTTTATTATAATTAATATTATTAATAAAATAATTTATAAATTTAAAAAAATTAATATTTAAAAAACTATTATTTGTGTTATAATTATTTTTATTTTAATTATGATTAAAAGTAGTAATATTACAAATATCAGTACTATTTTTATTTTTATTATGATTAAGAATATTCATTTTACAATCACCGAGTGAATGTGAACATGTATAAGTCCAAACTCAAGTTAGGTACGAACACATTCACGCTTAATTTTAAAATAAACGTGAAGGATCCACGCTCACTTTCAAATTAGATTATAATTAAAAGTAGTAATATTACAAATATCAATACTATTTTTATTTTTATTATGGTTATGATTAAGAATATTTATTTTACAATCACCGAGTGAATGTGGACACGTATAAGTCCAAACTCAAGTTAGGTATGGACACATTCACGCTCAATCTTAAAATAAGTGTGAAGGATCCACGCTCACTTTCAAATTAGGTTTTGATGTGTGCATGCCCGTCTATATGTGTTAATATAATAATGTATGTTATAAATATTATTTTTTTACTTATAACTCAAAGTATTCAGATTAAAAATAAAATTATTTATATTATAAATATTATTATAACTAAAAATATTGTCTTTCTTGAAATTCTTGATATAATTATTTATGTTATAAATATTATTATTTTTATTATAATTAATATTATTAATAAAATAATTAATAATTTTGAAAAAAAAATTATTATTAATATTAAAAAAATTATTTTTTATATTATAAATTTGATTTATAGAGGAGAAGTGAAAGATTCTCTCTTCTAGAAGATGATTTCTACAGTTTTATCAACTGTTTTGATAAACTTAAATTCCGTGGATTGTATAAAAAGAGAGTTTTGATGCAGTTTTTTATAATTGATAATCTAAAAAGAAAAAAGTAACTTTTGTAAGTTCTCTTTATTACGGAACATGAGTACAAGTAATTCTTCTATTAGTATTAACAATGATGAGAAAAACATTATTAATAACAAAAAATACTCAATTAAAGGTATGATTTTGGACTCGATATTGAGTACTATCTAAAAAGGAAAACAGGAAGCAAATACACAACCTAAATAATAAACGTAAGAAACAAGGTGGGTTTTTGTTTTTACCTCGGGAACAATTTTGTAGAGGAAAGTCTCCGTGTCGTCTCGAACATCAGAGTCGTAATTCTCCTTGATAGTGAGAGAGGCGCTTGCGTGATGCACTGAGATGATATAAATATATGTAAACATATATAATTCAATCTACATTCATCAATTCAATCAATCATAAAATAAAACAGAGAGAGAGAGAGAGAGGCGAGGAGAAATTTTGATTCACTTGCAAAATAGATGAGCAAGGCCGCACTTGAATTCTGACAAGTCACTCCCAATTTCATTCAATATCTACACGAAGCATAGATTTGTGAATATATTCTTGCTAATAAACTACTCCCAAGTAAAATTTCGATACAAAGAAAAAAAGAAAAACTTTGGAGTAATAAGATGACAGCCACGGCGGTGTGGGGGTAGAGTACTAGTCTTCTGAGCCCGCCTGGGAGCAGCGGCAGCCATGGAATCGGTGAAGGGAGCCTTTGCTGTGTAGACGGAGTTGACAGGGAGCAGTGGAGGAGTAGGCGAGGAGGAGAAAAGCGTGGAAGAAGTGTGGAGGGCGTGATTTGTTGAAGAACAAGAAAGAAGGCCCACAAATTTAGTTGTTGGTGGATATTAGAAGAAGCCCAAGCGTACAAAATTAATTTTATGGAAAGGTTTAACGGGCTCGTTATTCCATTCACAGGCCCCGTTTCTGTGGCTGCCCTTCTCCCTGTCGTCGACGTTTTCCAATATGTCTACTCTACGGTGCTTTAATCTATAGTATCTTTTATTAATACAACAGTACTACTAATAGTAGTAGGAGTAATAAATGGGCAAGAGGAGTCGGTGGTTGTGGTGGATGGTGGTGGCTGTAGGTGTAGTAGGAGTGGTGGCGACAGGCACAAACAGCGGCGCAGGGGAAGGGGAAGGAAAAGGGAAAGTGTTAGAGCCTCTCGTAACCAGAATTGCCTTTGGATCCTGCGCCAACCAAAGCGCTCCTCAGGTAATCGTAATCTCCAATTTCATATTTTGCTTTTCCTTACTCATCATCAGTCGACACTTCCCTTCACATCACCTATAGATAGCTCACTCAATGTTTCCTCTTACTCCTCTCTCACCCACGGCTGAATATTACTTACACACACACATATATTCACTCCTCGTCAATCAATCAATGATATTATTGTTATGCAATTGGCAGCCCATTTGGAATGCCATAATTGACTTTGATCCCCAAGTTTTTATTTGGCTGGGAGACAATGTTTATGGAGACACTAAACGTCCTTCTAAGTTATTTGGAAAGGAAAGGACTTTTGGGCCTTGGAAGAATGCTCCTAGGTTTATCCCTTCCTCCCCAAAGGAATTGGAGTCCAGATACCAGAAAGCTAAAAGTAATCCTGGTTATTCTCGTCTTCGACACACTACTCAGGTACCACCTACCTGCTACTTTCCTTATACCTCACCTCACCTTATTTAATACGATCAATCTTCACTCTTCTTATAGTAATAATTACAATAGTAACAAGTGATCCCTCTCTTCACACTTGTCTTACCAATATTGCAGGTTATTGGTACCTGGGATGACCATGACTATGGATTAAATGATGCTGGAAAAGAGTTTGGTGGTAAAATCACTAACCAAAAGCTTCTCCTCGATTTCTTAGACGAGCCTCAAGACAGTCCTCGGTGATTAAGTCTTTTCCTTCAAAATTCCTTATCCTTTCCATTTGTTTTCACTTATATCAAGTTATGAAAAACTTGATCATGCTGCGAGTTTGTAAATTATAAGCACCCTACAATGCTTAGATGACCAATTTAATCATTGTTTCTACGTTATTATATTTATAGGCGCCAGCAGGAGGGTGTGTATACTTCATATATGTTTGGCCCGGTGGGCAGACAAATCAAGGTGCAAAAGAGAATGCCGTCACATACTTCCTTAGTCCTCTTAGATATGCAGCTCAATTGTGATTTTCCTGGGGACGAACTCATATCCTTACTGGCCATTTTTCTTTAGGTCATCCTTTTAGACACGAGGTACCACAGAGATCCTTTGCGCAGCGATGGGAGTGTCCTGGGAAGTTCTCAGTGGACATGGTTAGAAAAGGAGTTGAACGGACCAAAATCAGCCATTACCATCATTGGGTCTTCAGTGCAGGTATTGTAGGGTTTTTACTGTCTAAAAATTATCAGATTTGCGATTGAATAGTTCTATATCCATGCACAAGGAAGCATTGATGCAAGCACCCATGCAAGCAAGCTTGTAGAGACATATTTTGTCTGTTATTCGCTGTTAATCCTGCAATCTCCTTTCCCCCATAATTCAGGTTATATCAAATCTTTCAGCAACCACTCGCCCATTGTTTTCTTTGGAGTCCTGGGGACGTTTCCCAAAGGAAAGGAATCGTCTTTTCAAATTGATAGCAGATACTAAGGTAATAGCCTTTAATTATCGCCGCAATGCATATCCCTGAGGAAATGAACTGCTTTCAGTAGCACTAATGATCTCGAGTGTATTAATACAAGCTGGTGCGGAGCATTTGATTTTATATTCCAGAGAGTAATAAATGCCTATTATCTGTGCGCATTGCATGTTTACCATTACCGCGTTCCTGTGCAGAGAGAAGGCATCTTCTTCATCAGTGGAGATGTTCATTTTGGAGAAATTTCTAGATATGACTGTGCTACTGGATATCCACTATATGATGTAACTGCAAGTGGGCTTACACAAGCTGTTGAGAAAGCGGTCCCACATGTATTTAGTTTGTTAGTGAGATTTGTGGCATGGCTGACACCAACGACAATGAGAGTGATCAGCAAAAATTGCAGATTCAGGTCATGCACGTATGGTAAGGAATGGCTTTTTCAGGTTTCTTTTATGACAATGCTTCTGGTTCTGTTTTTAAAGCGTTTCTTGGTATATCAACTGTAAATTTCTTTTAGGTCAGCCAAATTTTGGAGCAATTGAAATTGACTGGAGCACAACTCCAGTAACCTTGAAACTTGAGGTCAGGGACATCGTAGGGTACCCTGTCACTGGTGTAAAATTTCCATTAGTGGAATTGCAATCACGTGGCTTAGTGGCATCAGTTAAAGCAGGGGAACATCGAAGGCATTGCTCCCTTGAAGTTAATCTGCCATGGATGATCAAATATCGCCTGGCAATTTTATTCTACTGTTCTGTATCTGGTATGCTATCTCTCATGCTAGCAGCATCGATATCCTCTTCATCTCATATGAATTTTTCTCATTGGTTGAAATTGTTTGCCCGCATGCCATTTCATGTTGAGTTGTTCTAATGGGGTTTGAGCCTGTATTCCATGTTGAGTTATTTTAGTTGGATTAATGGATAGCCAACTTTTTCAATCTTTTTGCTGGCAATATACAAAAACGAAGTGGAGTATTCGTTTATATTATCTTCTTGCGCCCCGTTTTATTAATTATTATACTATTGTTTGTTGCAGCTTTGCTTCTTGCTATGAGTGGGCTGGCTTATGCAGCCACATTAGCATTCAGACTGCTCCTCCACAAATGCAAGCTAGATTGAATACGCCTTAGTGGAGACGATAAGATTTTAGGATACAGGTTCTTGCTCAACTTGTAAACTCAATGT